TTGAATGAGGTGGGACATGCGAATGGCGGTTAAGGGCGTGAATTCGGAAGGCTTGAGGATGATGCAATTTCCAGTGGCCAATGCAGGACCAATCTTCCATGCCATCATCATCACTGCGCGTCATTTGGCGCTGGTCAGTATGGAAAGCGCAATGACAAGACGGTGGCAATGGGAGGGTAGCGCGACATACATGGGAAGTTCCATGGGATGATCTGGCCAACGACACCGATGGGTTCATGGCGAGTGTAAACGAGCTTTCCGGCCGTCGTCTCGATAGTCTTTCCTTGGATCTTGTCGGCCCAGCCGGCGTAATACTTGATGGTGGCAATCGAGTCGGTGACGTCAACGTCCTGTGCCCACCCGAAGGTCTTTCCGTTGTCCAATGCTTCAAGAGCAGCGAGCTCGTCGAAGTGCGCTTGCATGAGGTTACCGAGGTTGTTGAGGAGCTCTGCACGCCTGGTTCCGGGGGTGTTCAGACCCCAAACGGTGTCGAACGTCTTCTGAGCAGCGACAACGGCGAGGTCAACGTCTTCCTTAGTGCCTTCCGAGATTTTGGTGACCAACTGGCCATTGGTCGGGTTGATGACGCTGTGAGATACCAGCGAGATGTGGTCGGCTGCGATCCAGTGAGATAATGTGAGGCGTACTCACTCGATGGTTGTGCCTTTAGATCCGTCTACCCACTGGCCATTTATGTAGAGCCCGGTCGAGAAAGAGGTCTTGCCCTTGTAGACCGGGGTATCAAACGTGTACTCGAATGTCTGCGGCATGGTGTACAGTGACGATGAAGACGAATGTGGGGAATGTGGGAGCGAGGGCGATGATGAGGAACTCGAGTAATTAAATACCCTGGCTTAAGCGGATTACGACGGAGGTCCACCCATAGGCACGAGGCCCACCATTCCCATGTGTGTATGCCCGAATGCCAACCGCGTCCGAGAAGAAGCGCGGGCCTGGAAAACGGTTTGCCTATTACCAACTGACTCTTCGCCTGCGGAGTCAACTGGTCGTGGATCTTGTAACCCATTTGAGGCTCGGAGCTTCCTGATCTCATGTGAGCTTTCTGGAAAGGCAATTCACAATGACCATCAGTATGTGCTTGCTCTAGGGCACTCTTCAGGTTTTGAGACTGGCCTGGCTCGTACTCACATCGTCTAAAAAGTGGGCATGTGTCCATGCTCAAGCAGTCGCAGCCTTGTTGCGCAAACCTCTTCAGCCTAAATTGCGGGGAAGAGACGACGATGTCATTGCAATCTTGATTGTGTACCTATCATGTCACATGTGTCCTCCGGTGTCCACTTTCCAGTTCTGATATCGATGATCCCTTGTTGGCGTCTCCGGACCGCGGCCTCCCGATCCGCTCGGGACAGCTTCACCTCGACCCAACATTCGACAGCGCAGCGGCCTACGTCGAGTAAGGTGTGTAACGTACTCATGGAGGCCTAATACCATCACGCGCGCATGGCAGAGCAGGTGGTGAGGAAAATGTTTGGTGCATTGGATATGTCGACAAGCACAGCAGCAGTCGCGTCGTGTAATCATCCACAGTAGATAGCTTTGCAGCATCGACCTCTTCCCCACAACTTGGCGTATATGGTACATGTCAATTCTACACCTGGATGTTGAGATCAGCAAATCGGTGGTAGATCGGGCGGGCCGCCGCGCGCACTGGATACCACGAACCTGATATTTTGAAAACCTAGAGCGGTCTGTGGCGACAACTCTTTGCCGTAGCGTACCATACAGTCTTCGGTGGTACTAGAGTTGAACCACGCTGCCCCGCTTCCACTTTTCATGATTACCCCGGAAGCGTAGCTCGACTTCTTGGAATATCTCCACCTTCTTGGTCAATACAAACCCTAGTTTCTCGAATAATCGTATGCTGGATAGGTTTGATTCTCCGATACGGACGACGAGAGAAGCTGGGGGCACAGGAAGAGGACTCAAAGCCGTCGGCGAAGTAGCGTATGACAACATCATTTGCAAAGCCAAGAGTGCGATACCTTTTCTGCGATAGCTTGGTTCTATGGGCGGGATGAGAACAGAAAACCAAATAAGGATCTGTTGTACTCACCTGCAATCATTATCTCTGCTTCAGCCTCGAAGTCTTCGTCCTCTGTTGATCCTTTGAGAAAGAGGTTGACATCGCCGACCATGCGGAGTTGGTCTAATATTGGGATGGGCGCGGTATCTGAAGTTTGGCGTGCGCAGATGATGAAGGTCAATTCTGTCGGGATCTTCTTTAGTAAAATGAAAGCGCGATACAAAAGCAACACGTACTGTCATCGTCATTCTGCCACTTCCCTACAAAATTCATCGTCACCCCAGCTCTCAGTATCCTATCGAAAGGCCGCGGCACATACGTTGCATCTCGTATTCTTCTTCCAGGCTCAGAGGCTCGCTGGCAGTTAGCTCACGGAGTTCCTGGCTGAGCATCCACTCGTGGTACTTCTGTCTGAGACATATTGAGGATATGAGTGACTTGGCCAATTTCGTGCGAAGAGCGACAGACCGCGACATGTTCTTTTCTGCGACTTATTAGACTTATTTTTGAACAATGTTGCGGAAGGCACGCACCTGTATGGCACAAGACATATGTCGTCCAAGACAATGAGGGTATCTTGATTGGCCTTCATGAGTAAGATAGACTGCAGTCACAGGGACGAGGTGGCACTGGTGGATGCTGGTGGATGCTGAGTAGACGCTGACAATAAGCGCCTATCTCTCCGCCGACTGCTCCTGAGTTGCTCCTGTATCCTGATTCTTGCCTGACTTCTCCTTGGACCCGACTTTGATCTGTCTCTTGCCAATCATTTCCGAAGAGATACAACGCGCCGACGTCAAGGCAACTCTGGACGATCTCGAGTTTATATCCTGTCTTTCTCTGACTTCATACAAATCCCCGGCCCCTTACATTCGTGTTCTGCTGAGGCTTGAGCAGCCTGAGCTCGAGCTCACAAAGGTGATGTCCACCAAAGTGCTCGCAGCTAGTAAGTTCGCACATTTGACTGTATACCTGCCAACAAGCTTACGGAGATCGTTCTATATCGAAGCAGACAGCATGCGTCTGAACTATGACTGCCTGTTACTCGTCATGCGACACGTCGCTCAGGAGTCTCATCGCTGGCCTCCACCAGATCTTCTCGCCTTCATGCGGACGTGCAGCTATCTCTATCATCACGGGATGCCCCTGCTCATTGGAGCCCCGTATATCTTTGCTGTGCTCGGAGACACACTTGCATCCTTTGCCGATTTTCTTCTCGACCATCCCGAACGATGCTCCCATTTACGATCCTTGCACTTGGCCCCAACATTTATACTCAACACCAATCAAAGCGCTGCGATGCGCGCTCTCGACAAACTCATCGTCGTTCTGACTCACGCACGGGACTCTCTCAGGGTTCTGGTACTTCCGGACGTGGAGTTTTTGTTGGGCGAGAATCCTCGGTTCTCGACGGCACTGTCTTCCCTCACAGCAGTGAAGTGCATTCGGATCGACATGTTCGTGTGGGGCACGTTGACCGTCAGAATGCTGGAATCGCTGAAGTCACCGGTATCCCGGGTTAGCTTGGATTTTGGAAGACCGACATCGAGCCAAGAGATATCCCTGACAACATCACTTGCTCGGTTTACGAACACTCTCTTGGATCTCAGAGTTCTCAAGCCCGCACCCATTTTTGCGACACATCAATATCATGCAGTCCGGACGTTGCATTTGACGAGGACTTACGATCTCAACATATCGACGCTGCACTATTGCTTTCCGAACGTTGCTGTCCTGAATTTACAACCCGAACTCCCGCTCCTCACGTTGCCCGATGACGTAGAAGAGAGCCATCGGAATAATCAATCTGTTGCGGCATCCTCATCTTATTGGTCTTCACTGGATGTCCTGACATGCCAAATCTCTCATGTCTATGCCTGGGCCTTGCCATGCAAGGTCCGCCTGTGGCACATCCCGTTCACCCCCACCCCCGTGTCGTCCTCGGACAGACAGAGAACATCATGGTTTCACTCCGTGTTATCCTCTCTCTGCCCATCTCATCTCATAATCTTTCTTACCCACGGAGAGGACGACGATATCAGCAACGTCTCCGATCTCTTCCCGCACGGCTGTTCTGTGACGCATCTCGACCTTACAGTTGACCTATACCGGTTTAGCAACAAGCCGGAGAGGACACATGGCTTTATGGTGAGTTCCACGGAAGGACAGATCAAAGGGATTTTCAGTAGGCTAACAGTACATTCTGGAGGCGGCTCTCGTCGCCTCCGTCTCGAAGCTCGATTTGCAGCATTTCAACCTCCGCATTCTCTGCTTTATCGCGCGAAGACCGGTCATAGGGTATTTGCAGGACTTTATCAGCTCTTCCCCGGAAGAAGGGAATGCAGATTACCTCAAAAGCGCGAATTTGTACGCACGAGGTATGACAGACACGCTCCCGCACACTGAGGCAGCAGACGGAGCACCGCGCTTTGCGGTGACGCGAGAGCTATACAAGATGGACATGGAGGTATACGCGCACAGCTTAGCGTCTCGCTGCCCGAACTTGCAGGATATTCTCGTTCATTGGCACCATAACGCGATAAAACTGCACGACGGACATTACTGGCGAGTTGTTCGCGACGGTACTCGCGCCAATGCTACTACTGGTGACGGCGGTAGTGCATCGTTCAACTCACATCGCCTTGCCCCTTTACTCCTGGACTCGACGTGGAAATGGGTCGAGCCTTATTACTCCCTGTTCGGCCCGTGGAACAGTGCCGATATAGGTTTTCAGAAGCGTGAATGAATGTTGGATAGTTGGGTTGTATACACAATCATTCTAATGCCATTCTCTTCCAAACCGTTTGTGGTTACTGAATACGGGTAGGGTTTTGGTGAATTGCGCCAAAAGGCAAATACAATGGGTTTAGGCAGTGNNTACAATGGGTTTAGGCAGTGATAACTACCGTTCTTGAATCTTCTGCCAGTGTCGAAGAGATCATGCGCCCAAAACAATTGAGTCGGCCCAGGTTCGAACTGAGGACCTTCTGTGTGTTAGACAGATGCGATAACCAACTACGACTACGCCACCGACCCATGCTGTCTGACGCTGCCAAGCATCTATTGATGCCAAGTCAGTTAGCTTCAGTTCGCGCCAAGCTTGCTGCAAGCACCTCTCCCTCGTAACTCGTTCATGTCGTTTTCGACATTCGTGGTCTCATACCAAGACCATCGGCGCGATGATGTCCTCCTCGTTTGACTTGCACTACGACTGTTGCTCCTAGTACTATACTGTCCTGTGGTCATGTCGCTCATAATAGGCACATCGTCGACTCTCTCTCTTCTTGCGGACGAGGTTCAAATCGACGACATCACTTCCACTCGGACGCTCTCTCGCTCCGCCCACTTCCTTCTGACGACATTCGGTAGCAAGGGTCTCGCTCCAACCAGAACCCATCAACTCGACGCGGAACGGGTTTTGCGTGCTATGTTGGACTCTTCGAAGATTGTGAATGGCACGCGCTTCGTGGCCAGTGCTATCATCGAGGTTGGCAAGCAGAAGGCGCAAGACATCAGCCTCGAGGAGGAGAAACTTTCTGACGAAGAACAAATAGCTATCAAAGACGACAAAATCAAGACGAGGCTGACCGATCTTGCTTCGGACTGGGCGGAATATCTGCTGTTCTCGTGTGCGTATCAGTTGAACGAACTTCGACGACGGTCGTACCGGTACTGACATGATACTTTGTGGTCGCTTGCAGTCTTCAATGCATTCATGTCTAACGGTGAACCGTCCACCACAGAGTCCAGTCCGACAATTGATTCGACTAGGATCAAGATCACGCCGGTCTCTGACAGCAGGTCGAAAAAGTTGCGTGAAGAGGCAAGTAGCAATGCATCGGTTAGACTGTCTCTGTATATTCACGTCCACTTAGGTTCTTGTGAGAGACAACCTCCAATGCGTCCTCACAGGCACGAAAGACGCCAACGCTTTCCGTGCTCGTCGTATAAGACCCACCGGCAAAAAGGGGTGTGTGGAGGCTGCTCATATAATCCGCAGAAGCGCCTTCGTCGAGAAACCTTCCTCTGTTGGTCTTAACATCGAAAATGACGCCTACATCTAATGATGCATCCGTCTCAGGTTCAAGTTCCTGCAGCAATCGACATGCTAAAGGGTTACGCCTGTCTGTCGGATGCCGCTGCTGACGACCTCTTAAGAAGCATTGACGACCCGACGAACGCGTTTCTGATGGTCAGCGATTGGCATGACGAGTTTGACCATTTCACCTGGTGTCTTGTTCCTTCTGAAGTGGTGAGCGTCTTCTCCCTATGAGCCTCACATGCATCTTATGTCCGTGTTGTTTGTAGGATCTCGACCATATGCACGACATTTTCGATCCGGAGGTGGATGAGCTTCCACAGATTCCGGCGGAACAGCAGTGGTACAACCTCGTGCTCCTCGAACCACTCGATCTGCACTCGCAAATTCTGTCGAACAAAGTCACGTTCAGAAATCACGCACCACCCCAGCAGGCCATCAAGGTCCCAAACCCAAAGTATCTGGCCATCCATGCTGCGATTGCGCATGCTTTGCTCTTCAGTGGTGCGGGGCAAGTGTTCGCCCAGCCCAAGCCGTGGACCACTCCTCCCCTCCAGAGTCGCAAACATTACGTCGTCCGCGAGCGGTTTCCCGAGATCTTGGCGGTATAGAGTTGGAGCTGCGTTCCTCTGTTGTGTCCATGGTGCAATCGCAGTACGAGAGCCCAATCCTTTCCCCTGCCTTATGAGTTTGAAGATTACGTTGTGATAAATTCAGCGCACAGAACGAGGTGCGCGCAGCTATGAGAAGACCAGACCAACATGTTGAGACGCAAGTCTATGTAAATGACATGGCGATGGAGGATGACGCGGAATGATGATGATGCAGAACTGTAGAGGTGTAGATGGAATAATGTACATTGAGATCCGACAAGGCTTCCCGAGTCCTATTTAAGATATTGCGAAGTTCCGATGCTCCCTCATCCTATTATGCTTCCAGCAGGAAGACGTCCGGCGTCGTGATAGATCTACTCGACGTCGAAACCACCGAAGTTGATCTGAACGGCCTTGATGGCAGTGTAGCTAAACAAAAACAAGAACAGTGAATATTCTATGCGTGATAGGCACAAAAACGGTGGCACGTACTTGTCCAATGCATACTCGCCGAGCTCACGGCCAATACCAGATTGCTTGTAGCCACCGAAGGGAACCTGGAAATGGACCTGGTTGACGCAGTTGACCTACGACAATGCAACAAAGACGAAATGAGATCCCCTCCTCTTCATGAAGCAGAGGATCCTGAAGTACGCACCCAAGCAGTACCCGCCTTCAGTTTGTGCGAAACTTGTAGCGCACGGTCAATGTTCTTTGAGAATACAGCAGCAGCCAGTCCATATTCAGAGTTGTTCGCTTGACGGATGACGTCTGCATCGTCTTTGAACTTGATGACGACGCCGACCGGTCCGAAAATCTCTTCTTGCACGATCTTCATGTCAGGCTTGGTGTTGGTGAAGATGGTGGGCTGGATGAAGTAGCCCTCGGTCCCTTCGCGCTTACCGCCGTAATGGACGGTGGCGCCTTGCTCCTTGCCAGAAGAAATGTAGCCCATGATGCGCTACAGATCGCGGTCAGAATTAGTCAGACTTTCTCTCAAGAAGGCATCCAGCAGAACTCACGTCGAACTGCTGTTGGGAAACCTGGGGGCCCTGGTAGGTATCAACGCCGAAAGGATCACCAATTTTCAGCGACTTCGCTTTCTCTGTGAACTTCTGGAGGAATTTGTCATAGATTGTCTCTTGAACGAAGATGCGGGAGCCAGCACTGCAGGCTTGGCCTTGATTCCAGCTACACACGCAAAAAGTCCCCGAAGTATTGGTCAGTTCACCAAACGTGAGAGCAGATACAACGACGACATCGGACATACAAGATACCGTGAGAAGCAAACTTGACCGCCTGGTCAATGTCGGCATCGTCGAAGATGATGTTGGGCGACTTGCCGCCAAGTTCGAGGGTCACGTTTTTGAGATTCGTCTGTGCAGCGGCTGCCATGATCTTGCGCCCAACCACAGTACTGCCGGTGAAAGCGACCTGATCAAAGATAAGAGGGTGAAATGTCCGACATCAGCTTCTGAAAATTTAGGAGGAATGGGAAACACGGTCCGAACCTTCTCAATGTGTGGGTGTTCTGAGATGGCCTGACCAACGGTCGAGCCATAGCCAGTGACGATGTTCACGACACCTGGTGGGAACCCAGCCTCATGAATCAGCTCCGCCATGCGAATAGCAGTCAAAGCCGTGAACTCGGAAGGCTTGAGGATGATGCAGTTTCCAGTGGCCAACGCAGGACCGATCTTCCACGCCATCATGAGCACTACAGCCCAGCGTTCAGCATGAGAAATTTCACAAAACAACAGCACGCCACGTACAGGGGAAATTCCATGGAATAATTTGACCGACGACGCCGATGGGTTCGTGTCGGGTGTAAGTGAGCTTGCCGTTCGTCGTCTCAATGGTCTTGCCCTGGATCTTATCGGCCCACCCAGCGTAGTACTTGATACAGCCTATAGAGTCCGCCACGTCCACGTTCTTCGCCCAGAAGAACGTCTTGCCGTTGTCCAACGCCTCGAGAGCAGAGAGCTCATCGTGGTGCTTCTGCATGAGGTTCCCAAGGTTGTTCATGAGCTCGGCGCGCTTCGTCCCCGGAGTCTCCAGGCCCCAGGTCGTGTCGAACGCCTTCTGGGCGGCAGCGACTGCGAGGTCCACATCTTCCTTGGTCCCAGCGGATATTTTCGTGATAAGCTTGCCGGTGGAGGGATTGACGACGCTGAGCACGACGGCGGAACACGGTCAGTGGGCGCTCACGAACAACGAACGAGGAAGTCTGCACTCACTCGATAGTCGTGCCCTTTACTCCGTCAACCCACTTCCCATCGATATAGAGTCCAGTGGAGAAAGACGTCTTGCCCTTGAAGAGGGGAGTGTCGAAGGTGTGGGTGAAAGTGTCGGGCATATTGGTCGATGGTCGTGAAGGTGAAGAAGGTCGGGGATGACACAAGCGTTAGGACCGAGCAGCTTATATACCATCGTGAACGGGTTTATGCGGGAGCTCACACACAGATCCGAGACGAGGTTGCACAAGGATTCTCGTGTGTGGGAGTGACTAGAATCCGCGGCGTTCGAGAATGTATGCTGGTTGTCGACTGGTTATTGATAATTCGCAATTCGCAATTCACCGACGGTTGTGGGCTTGAAGAACAGGCGCTTATACGCGATCATAGGGGTGGCATGTACTTGTGTGAGGTATTCCGCGCGTGTCAGAATATCACAGACCATACCTCGCTGCACAGAACCGACAAGTGGGTCCGTGGGTCTGTGACACCCTGACACAACCGGGTCTGACCTGGGGCGGAGAGATAGGATGCCAGAAAATTTGAGTCTGAACTCCCGATCGAATATGCTTCAGGATGCTCTCTCCTCTCGTCGTCAATCGCGTCTGCCCGAACGGCTGACTGGAAGCAGCCTGAAGGTATAATTGAACACACGTAGGTATAGTAGTAAGCAGAAAAGGCATTCACCTGACTTTCCGGTAGAACGGCCAGTGCTAGTCTATTCACAACGAGGTTCCATGGCAGGTTCAACTGTTCAGACGAATGCAACCTGTAACCACACTGCGGATTCCTCCCCGATCGCACCATCTCTTTGTCAGCGAATTGTCTGCGTTTCTTGGGAAGAATCTCCTGAGTCGAATCGCCCGATAGGACAGAGGAGCTCGCACTGATCGGGATCGTGTACGGTGCCGAGGTGCTGTGTTGGGCAGACCGCAGGGGATGGATGTATTGCAGGCCTGTGATAGAAAGAAACGTGACTTTCAAGTTGGTCTGTAAGAACACTCGTGTTGCGGAACTCACTCAAAATGACGCCTTTCTTTCTGGAAGATCACCGCCCACTTTACCCTACGGGTTGAAGTAACAGCCTCACAGTGGCAACCACGAACGATTTGGAGGACTGTATTGCATTGAAGCCCTTCGAGAAACATGCGGACGAGAGGCTATCAGAAG